CCGGTGGTCTACCATAACCGTCTACCATACCGTAAGATAAAATACCAAAACAGTTTCCAAAGATGGCAGCTGTTGGTTATAAGAAATCTTTTATATCAGCGCACCGGAACATGTTACAACAACAAAATAATTTAGCAACTTGTATAAATCCTATTATAAAGGTGTGAAGATTTTTCAACCATGAATAATTTATTTCACTAGATCAGTGACCGAGTGATTATGAGTTGGAACCCACGTGTTTTGTGGGCATCAGGTCATAGAATGCTTGACCACAAAATTGCTATATAAGTAACGTCCATTTATATTCATTTCAGTGAGAAAAGAATTAATATTTTCTTAGAAATATGTACCACCTGGTTTTTAATCATATAAACATAGTTATAAATATTAATGTAACATGTAATAAGATTTTAATATTTGTACTAGATAGTATCAAACTGTTATTGTGTGGATTTCTGGCTTATAACCGCGGGCGTCGACTCTGTTGAAGTCGATTTTATCAATCAACTTTTTCTTGATGAAATTTTATCCACATCGGGTCTGCTTCATCAACGTTTATAGCAGATTCCGACATACTCGTACTGGACTGCACGGATGGCGTAGTGAGTGAGTGAGCACTACGCTGAGTGTTCGATCCCCAAATGGGACGACACTTTGTGTGATAAACACATTGTTGTTCTGCGTGTGGGTGTTCTTTGTGTCCGTTTCATGTATGTTTGTAAAGTCCGTATTAGGAATATATAGAAGTCTTTGGGAAAAAAATACCACTTCACTTTTGGCTCCGGTAAGTTGGTGACATGTTCCCACACAGTAAAAAAAGACACGAAAATCAAAGTATACAATTGCATTAGCATGGCGCCCGGAGCTATTTGGGTTTCGCAAAAAAACACTTTTACTAAAGCTGAAAGCCATCTTAAAACTTTTCGTACTTTTTTTTAATAACCAAAAAATAAAAAGCATTATTATTTTTAATATTCATTTAATTTAATTTATCTTTTATTTTTTAATAAAGTTTAAGCACTTAAAGAACAAAATCATAACTAAGACAATCAATTTTAAATATTTGCCCACTGTGTAGTTTCTAGTTGAATAAGAGGCAAAAAACAATTTGTTGCGTCCAATTCGGTCCAATAATGACACAACACGGAATGATACCCATTATGCCGTGGGCGGGATCGAACCAGCTACCATAGCGGTTGTTGCTCATTACCGACCTCTATGATTTGTGGTTATGTACCTTACAAGTGGGATGGTATTAGACGATTAAGATTATCTTTGCTTTTTTGCCTTTAATATTAGATACAAAAAAAAGGAAATTACGTATTTATGGTTATTGTTAAGAGTGCTTCGATTTGAAGATTTTTCAATGTCAGATTTTAACCGCGATTTTATGTTTCAACTTTATTTTTATTTGATTAAAAATCTTTAATCATGAAGCTGTTACAGCTTTAAATAAAGCTATTATAAAATACACCACATCTCATATAATTAGTCAATCTTTTTTAATAGAAAATTAAAACAGTACAAAAAATATTAATTGCACTGTCCATTATAACCACTGGGTTCGAAATTCGAACCAAGAAAAAATAATTAAAAATGATTTATCAACCTAAGACACCGTAACGGTTCTAAAATTTAAAATAAAATAATTTATTTTTAAATATGTAAAGAAAAGAGGTCAAATTAATATTAATTAAAAATCAATCAAAATGAGGACCTTATCCATCATCGTATCGTATCTTAGCGCAAATTTGTATAATTTTTATATGACATTTAAGAATCGAGTATTAATCGATCCATACATTTTAATAAGTAACCGTTGAAGATACAACCCATAGTAAAATTAACTTTAGAACGTATAAAAATAAGGTCCATTTCTCTTTGATGTATGACCAGAGGTGAAAACATCTTTATCATTTCTGCAAAATGTTCCAGTCGGTTAGTTAACATCGTTTAAATAAATTTCATATTTTAGTTTGGGTTACTTCCATATCCAATTATGAAGTATTTATGCGTTCCTGCGTATTCCGATCCCAACTTTAATTTCCAAACTGACCAGTAAACGTCAATAGCCTTGCCCCTGTTACGTCATATGAAGACATACTCTTGACTAAGTTTGAGTTTTAACACACATACGTGAGTGTATACATACATGCATGTCTATGTATTCAAAACAGATTTCTATAAGAAATGGTTACAACAGAGAAAGCCTTTCCATGGGAAATAACGAAATTGGTGTTTCGAGTGTTTGTATGACCCGTTAGCCACTAATAAGCAGCTCGCGTGATTATTTGAAATCACTATTGCTTATTGTACAAACACTATTTCCTAATAACAACTTGTACGCGTAAGTATTCATTTTATTATTTCGAAAAATTAAGTTTTTGTTCCCCATTTACTTAAATTTATGCTGCACATCACGTCGTTTCCATACGACTCTCTTCATTACAAAATCAAAATTGTTATGTCAAATATAAAAATGACATTTCTTTTATAATCTATATAACTGTGATAGAAAATAATATACACTTGAAAAAGACGTGTGACTTTAAATGACATATGATTGTCAAATTTTTGCCGCCATAACATTGCATACTGTTTCTGTAATTTGGCCAAAAACTTTCGAAGCCAATCAACAACTACTGATATTATAAAGTGAAAGTCAGTTTGTTTGTTATAGTGTAAAATACTAAACCAATTTTAGTAATTCTTTCACCAATGGAAAGCTACATTATCAGTGAGTCACATAGGCTGCTTTTTACCGACATAGGCACAGGCGGAGTCGTATGCAAAAGCTAGTTATAAAATAATAGGCGTAATTGTTTAAAGTACTTAAGCAATAGAGGTTTCGAGTGAACAATTCAATTAATTCAATAGAAATGAGATGATTTATACTGAGAGATTAAAGTAAATTAGCGTTCTTAGATAATTGGTCATCAACTTGGGCCATTTCGTGTGCAATAAAAATTATTAGCATATTCTACGTGTAGTTTTACGATAACTCTGGTAAGGTATTTATGTTGACATAAACATTAGAATGTGCTATTTTAAACCCTGAGTAGTTAAGACTATGTTTAAATGGTAAAACTAATTGTTTTTGAAATTAAAATTTTGTTGTTATTTGTGTTGTATGTGCAATACACGGCTTTACTGCGATTGTTGTGACCAACATAGGAAAATCTATTTTAACTAACTTGTTTGTTTTTGCAATGTTTTAATGGAGTCCGTAGGTATCTATTTAGTTTTAAGTTAACTAAATAGATACCTACTACTGAACATTTTGTATTTAATTAATTTTATCGTCATTTTTGTACCTTGTTCTTAATTTTATTGTGTAATGCGTAATATGGCGAAAGATTTTGACTAGTTTATTTTTTAAATGACGGGAACTCTCCTTGAGAAGATACATGTGGGTAAAAAAATGGGTAGGGTAATAGATACCTTAAGTCTTGTGTATTGAAACGGGACTAGAGTAGCTCTAAAAGGCGTAGGTCGCATACCTCTGTGTTCGTCTCTTCGTTAATTACGTAACTAGGTACCTAAAATTGGCTTGCTTTTGAAAAAGGAGTTTGAAATTTATTGTTTATCTAAATATTAAATTCCTAACTTCAATCATGCCATACTACACAACAACATTTGCTGTAAGGGTATTTTATTTATATTACCCACTTTAATCTAGTCCAATTATCGCTTTAATTCCCTAAAGTATCATAAAGCGCGTTAGTCTAGTCTAATTAATGAAATAAAATATTTATTTAATTATTAATTATTATTTTCTCAAGATTACGAGTATTAAAACTGGATCTATATGGTAGAATTGTCGAACGCCGGTCTGCCCTAGTTAAGTTAGCAAGGTGTATGAACTTATTATAGGCAATTAAAATTATTTATATACAATTTGAAATAATTAAACAGTGCACACTGACAAGTTTATAATGTCTCAATTAGCTACTGTAGTTAAAATTAAGTTATCATAAACACTTCTTGCCCAAACAAAGATATTTCGAGAAAGAAAACTTATTTAAATTTTAAATTAGTATAGTTTTGGGAATGTTATGTCATGTAGTTTTAATTAGTACACAATAATAGTAATTAGTAAGTATATATACACTCAGCTGATGGAAAAAATCCGAGGCGAGCTGTGCATGATAGTATCACATTTCCGGCCAACTTGAGTTTTAAATGTCGAAAAAAGTGTGTCTTAAGTATGCTCATAGATTATTACGCAGACAGGCAACTTTATTTACTTTAAACGTATATTTTTATTAGTTACAAATATTATTTAAGACTCATGCCAAAAGTTATGTCGATGGGAGTAATTGAAGGGAAACGGAGGGTCATAAAAAGTAATAACCTTCGTCATTGTCCAGTTTTCATGGATATAAAACTATTTTTTCTTGTCTCTGCTCGTCATTTGTTACTGACGGTTTTGCTTCTTGATGTCTTCATCCAGAAGAAAAGCCGTCTCTTGCCCTTGTCAGGTCTGAAACCAATTGCACATCTAAGTAATACTTCAGTGTAAAACTTAATACAATGTTATGATGCCAATTGTTTAGCATTAAGTCTTACTTAGGAGACTTAACACGTTTATATTGTAACGAGAATATGTGCATATTAAGTGTAAATCCATTATAAGTTTGATTTTAAGTAAAAACAAAGGGATAAAAAATGGATTACATAATTTCTAAGGGAAAATGACACTTGTTTATTATTAAACTTGATTATAGATTTATTAAATTTAATGCCTGAATAGATACTGTAGACATATCCTTGATTTCCATTTATCAAAAAAAACATAGTCCAATGGTATGTCTATCTTTTAATCTTTGATACGAGTGCCCGGGCGCAGCCAACCGAGCGAGCATTTTATTATCCACGTACAAGCATTACGACCCTGCTGCGTCTGCCATTAATCCTCTATACACACAACCAGACAACGTTACTTTGAATTTATAATTATAGTGAAAAATAAACTTATATGTACTTTTCTTCATTTACAGATACGTCAGGAGAAACCTTATTATATAGCGGACCCAGAGGTCGACTCATTAGTAAGTATTGTCCACTTTATTACAACACAACACAAATAAAACACCAGATAACTTTAATACCCCATAAAATAGGGTACGGTTTACAATAATTTACGATTTGATTAGTTAAAGAGCTGTCCAAAATTAACCACAGGTAAACGAGAAATATTTCTCGGAACAACGAAATAGGGAAATAAGAATTAAGAGAAAAAAAAAGAAGATATTATATTGTCACTCATAAAAACAGTGAATCGCACCGAGCGCCTCCCGCGGCTAGCTTGGACAAAAAGTGAAATAATAAAAGTAAGATGGCGGCCACCCACGGCCGCGGTTCGACACGGGTACTTAACCGATTTTTAACAAATAAAATCTAAGGCATTACGAATCGCGCCGGTCGGAGGCGACGTTCATGTTATTTAACTTTGTTAGTGAAAATTCGTTTTATCAACTGTTAGCGTCACGCACGGACCATCTTCGTCACCAGATTGATTTGTAAGCGATGTCGCTGTTTTTTTTTAATAGCAGTAATTACTTGACACACACTTGGCCTTTTGATCCCAAACTATATAGAGCTTGTGCTGTGATGTACATACTGACTTATTTACATTTAAATTACCCCAGACGTAGAATAAATATCCGTGTAGTTCAGTATTTGTGCTGAGTGGAAATAAAACCGACGACCTCTGTCACAGCAGTCAAGACCACTAACAACTAGTCCAAAAGACAAGTCAGAACAGTTCAAAACAGTAGCACAGATTATACAAGGTTGTCATAAACTAAGCTGTCAGTTTTACCTGCACTGGCACTGATAAGCGTCATTCATCCAACGCCATGGGGTTTTTAACCGGCTCAAAGATAAGTTGTTTAAATATTGTGTGACATCCGGGCGTCGAGCAAACTTTGAAAAGGAATAGGTGAATTATCGTGCAGTGTTTTGTCCCTAGGGACTAGTGATGTGCCGGTGATCGTTATAAATCTGTATCTGCAGATACGAATATGAATTATTAGTGTTTAGATACGCGAATAGAGACTTGAATTTTAACTTTTGTAACAGTCACTACGAGTGATCTTGAAACAATTCTTGACGTATAAGTTATACGGTATAACTAAATAACATTACATATTACATAAAGATGAAAAGTTTTTTTTCGGTAAAAAGAAAGTCAAACAGTAAGTATGTACTTCATAACTGTTACCAATACTAGAAACATATTTCATTTCATTCATCATTTCATTTCATTTCATATTTAAACATTTCATTTACACAAAATAAATTTAAAACGAAATGTAAAAGATGCCAAAAAGCAAAATTCGTGAATAGGGATGAGGTGACGTATACAGATATTAGGTACATCACTACTAGTGGCATGTGGTGTGCTGCCACTGGGTGACGCATCTGTTTGTCTAGTTGCACAGTTTATTTTTTTAAACTAGTCTTATTCAGTGTTATCGTTATAAATGGTTCTGGAATAAATTTTAAAATAAGAACTTGGATTGGCATTTTGCCGCCATCTTAGCTTAGATGCAAAAAGTTTCGTTTGGAAATTTAGGTGATAAGCTGTTAGTTGAGTGTTATTGAAAAGCTGATACAAGTTTTTATTTAAATTTATCGTCGAATTCGGTCTGGCTTAATTTTTTTACAGACATGATGTTAAAAACGCAAGAATTGCGTTTTAAAAGGCCTCGAGACATTAATTAGGTTATGAATATGTTTGAAGTTAACAAAAGTATTTAGTATAATTACTTCAATACGTATTGACTTTTGAGTTATTGAAATGGCACATTTCAATAACTCGGGAGAATTTTTTTACAGTTATAATTAATAGGTTTTGTACGAATTTCTGAACGGCCACACGACAGCTCTTGAGTTCTTAATAAAAGCACTTGAAAGGTAGCAATTTGGCGAGGGTTACTTAAGAACTTGTCTGTATGTAAGTATGACTGTTACGTAAACAAATTTACTTAAATACAAATTTCTCGGTGACTTCATTTTGGATATATCACCAAAGTCCAGAGAATAGACTTACATGTAAAAGGACATCGCGTGGCTCTAGTCGGTTCGATTCCGTCATACCACTTTACCGTTAGCTCCAAAGAGGTGATGATCCGTGCGGCTTGCCAATTATAAATTTTCAATAAAAATATATAAACAATTTTTAAACATTCAAAAGAAGTTTTTCATAATGATGTCTCAAGTAACACCTCCTAGAACAAAAATTAGCCTCCGGTTAATCGCCGGCTGACATTTCATATTGTTATTGTTTTCACGTAACTCATTATGGCGCCTGCAGTCTGTCGGCTAACTCCTGCCCATAATTTTGGCCATTGAAGTTAAAGTGGGTCAAGGTTAATGAGGTTTCATGTAAATATGTGGACTATAAAGCGGTACGAGCATAATAAAACTTATTATTAGACTAAATGTTAAAATTTGTAACTGGCAATAACTAAAGAAAAAAGTACGACTTAAAAATACCGCCAATTTAAAAAGTGAGCCTTGATTCTATATAATTCTAATTAAAAATTCGAATTTATAAACAATCTACTTATAAGATTACCAAAATGTTCGAATTTCAAATAGAAAAAAGTCAAACATTTGTAAATAGAACACGTGAGTTGTAAGTTGTTAGTGATGTAGACACAGTATTGAAACAAAGTATAGTAAACTAAAACTGTAGTCAACTAAAAAACCAACAGTCGTTCTCTGTTTTATTGACCCATTTGGTTTGAGAGGCGATTGGTTACGGCGAGTAGAGGTTGTTTGCTCTCGTCACATCTGTGTTTGGTCTGTCACAGCCTTTTGAGGCTCTAAGCTTCTTCAAATAGTTAAACTGTAGTAGCATCGGTAAATATAACCGAATAGTTTCGTGTTTTACGAGTCATTAGTAAGCGATATCGTCTTTACATATAAGGGTATGTTTATAGATTGAAAACCTTTACTTGTCAAAAAATAAGAAACTAAATTTTCATGTGCGTATTAAAAAAAGGGGTATTAAGAAATGTTCAAAAGATAACTTTTACCGACTATTAAAAAAACTTACCAATTTTTTTTGTCTCATCATTAAAATTTACTAGTGTTGCATTAGATAACAGATATCTAATCGAGTTGTGTATGAAATATCGAATTTTCTTTTTATAAAATCATGTCGTTGTTGTAAAACGCTGTCTTTGGCTTCTTAAAGCTCGGGGATTACATCATAACATTCGTTCGCTCCCCTTTCTAAACAAACCCGTCTCAGTGGCAGGAGTAGTACAAGTCAAACATACTTTTATCTGGTGGTGTCGCCTGTGTCAACTGGTTCGTCTGAATAAACAGACGAGGGTGGCGCTTCCACTATAGCTTTAATTGATATTGCAGCTACGGACCTCACCAGATGGTTTTATACTTATCGGTTACTGCGCGCTCAATTTAAGAATTTGTATTGGTGTTTGTAGTCTACTAAAAGATATTTCGAATATAAGCCTCGCCATCGCCTTAAAATGATTTGTAATCCTATTTTATTTAATAAAATTCCTCATATTACACGGTTAATAGTACACGTACAACAATTCACCTGTAATGACTGACAGAGAAACGAAGCTTGTTTTTAGAATTGTCATTAGTTTCAAATCGACTAAATTTTAAATAACGAAGCCACAATATTTCCACCCTAATAAAATATTTTAAGAAAAAGAAAACAAAACATAACTCATTTCACTACTAATATTTGAAAACGCTCCAAATTTAAATTCAAGACGGTGTAAAATCATCAATCAAAAGTGAAATAAGCCAAGATGGCTTTTAGAATTCAGTTCTCGTCCTCGAGTGGCAATCAGAAACAAATCAAGACGCTATTAAAACGGCATTAACTGTTTTTAGATAGATATCGATTCTAAAAAAATATCGATTAGATCTTCGAATAGAATTAAACAATAGTCGATATTATCTTTGTATGTATGATGTATTAAGGAAGTTGTCATCGGCGTGTGAGCATATCGATCATTCACTAACGAACTGTTTATTCAATAACTGCAATTGAAGTTATATTTCATCAGTTTTTGTTGATACCATCATAAATTCTTATAATATTTTAAATTATGCAGTATTAACTGCTTCATAAATGTTGGATATTCATACAAAAAGCTTTCTTGAAAATTCATGTAGTACAAATAAAAATATATTTTTATTCATTATGTTTATAATTAGTGTTATTTATTTATTACATGTTTCTCAAATGTTAAACATATAAAATAAATATTAGCACACGAAATGTATCGATTATATGCATCGATAGGTATTATTAGTTCTTATCACATCACTAAAAGCTGCTGGGTTCTATTGAACGTTGCCCTTGTCCATTGTTGTGCAGACTGCTTTGTGATGCCCAATAATCTTATAACATACATAGCATTGAATGATATTATAAGATTTGGGTTATCATGGACATAGACAACAATGAGTATGCCTAGACTCACAGAATCATTTTTTTTTTAAATATAAACTCTTTATTCTGTATATGCTTGAAAATTACTAATAAGAACTTCGTACATAGTAGATTGAATAGGGGTGGTGAGACTCCGTATTCTTAATCCGTCACCGTCAGCATAATAGGACAACAGCACTACAAAGAGAAGGAACACTTGGCACAAACCCTATACCAACCCGTCTGGTCAGCGTGGTATAGTAGGCCAAAACCTTTATTCTAAAGAGAGGCCTATGTCCAGCAGTGGACTATTGAAGGCTGTTGATGTGACATAGTAGATTATTAACACAATATTTCTCTTTCACAGATGGTGCAAGCAATACAAGTTCTCCGGTTTCATCTATTAGAATTAGAAAAAGTAAGTATATCTTGTATTAGAATACATTTGGAATCGAAACTCGGACCGGTTTAAAAAAAAAACTAACACCTTTCGATTATCTTTGGGCCCGATTTTTAATCGAGATATCGTATCGATCTTAACACGCAACAACTGCACGAACTGGCCGCTCGTTCTATTTTTAAATAAATCAAATTGAAATTTCGAATACTAAACAAATCTATGTACAAATTCACGCATGACGTTACTTTTACAGAGATATTTATCTTTTAAAATTTTGAGTTGCTGTGTTTATTTATTAAATACTTTTGCAGTTTGAAGTCGGGTCAATTTAAAAACAAACTTAATTTGAAATGAAAATGGTTTACTAATCTAAATAAACGCTATGAATGTTAGAGTGAAGATTTCTTAAAGAATTTTGTCTATCCTCAATTCGGAATTTGCGGTTTTGGAGCGAAGTTGCGCGAGGTGTCGGCGCGGAGTGAATGGAATCGGCGCGTTCGCATTTCGAATGTTGTTTGTTTTTCCCTTATCTTCCATTTGGGTGCGTTCCGTTCCGACCGGTTCGGCTTCTTGCGTGTGTCGCATCGCCAATTCTCGCCATTATACTCTCCAAGTGTAACGGTAACGCGACGGGACGCAAGCTTTTTGCTATTCGCAATCAGATGAAACAATTTGCGCTCGGTCACATTAATTAGGAGCATAAAATTCAAATCTGTGTTACGTTTTTACGGCGAGCGGTGTCGCCCGGCGTGGAATTAATTTACCTTGTCAATATTATGGTCACGTTTCAACGAAACTAGTTTGACTAACGTCTATATCAAGACAAACGATCTCGAGAAACGAGATACTCGAAGCGGTCGCTCTCACAGCGGATTCCATAAAATATCGGGGCCTTTCGTTTAAGTATCGGGGGGCTCCGTGAACGAAATCGTACGCACTAATACGGGCCGGTGTAACGAGATAACGTGTAATGTGATATCGCTGTACGGAACTCGCTGGCCGGAGGGCGAGATAAAGGCGCTCCACGAAAAAAAACTTGATGCCATGTTCGAAATTCAAAATAGCGAATGCGCCACAGAGTGAAGAAAATCGTCCGATTCAACGAGTCGAATGATCGATTTTAAATTCATATCCGCGACTGTCCGATTGTTTTTGTTTACGAAGTTGCTTTCGTTTGAGTTCTGTAAAAACACATAAGAAAATTGATAAAATACACTTACTTAGTTTGTTCAAAGAAAATGACTAAAATACAAAGACATTTTATGAAGTCTTAGAGAGTAATTCTAATAGCGAAGGGCATTTTTTTCTACAATCATATGCTATACACGTCGGTATCTATCTCGTCTATGGTTTTTATAGAATGAAATTAAAAAAAAGATGCCGTTAGCTCGATCCGTTTCCGCTTCACTACACACCGTTCACAGGTGATGTGTTTTTTTTTATCTTTTATAATAATTAAAAAATAAAAAGGTCCAAAGACCCAACTCGCTCACAATGAGACCTTGTTAAGTGCGCTGTTTTTTACTATCTTTGTGAAAATTTCGAACTTTTTACTTACATTAGTAAATAAAAAAACAATAAATATATTTATTATGGACCCTTTCAATACCGCCGAGAATTTATCGAATTACTATAGCAGGTAATGAGATATAATGATATTGCCATAGACAAAAAAAAGCTGCTTTTAAAATTCTTGAACGCTATAACGAACTCCCCGAAATTATATTTACATTGAAAATATCGTATAGCTTTTTTGATTTATGCTTTTAATATTATAAATATGGCCGGCGGCGACATCGCTCCGATGGTGAGTCCTTTTCGGTCGATTGGCTCTGCTATTGGTCGTCGTTACGGACGTTTTTTTTTTTCGCCGTCTGACTCTGCCCTAATTACGTTATGTGATGTAGCTTCGTAATACCAGAGATTTGTTCCTTTTTTTAAATTTTGAATATAAAAAATAATTTGAAGTTGACCTCTAACGTATGAAGGAGTACGTGTTCCGTTCCTTTATACGTCGTCTGTGTTCCTTTTTTAAATCGATTGTAATGCGAACCATTCCCACATACACTAAGGTTATATCCCTGAAGGGGTAGGTAGAAGCATATTTAACAATTGTCCCTATTTTTTTACCAGTGGTAGTCGCATATAATAAATATTCAAATTAAACATGAAATTTATCAAATAAATGGCGCGCTTTTGCTTGACTTCCTGTTACACTCTGCCGTCCCTTTGACTAAATCACTCACACAGATATAAAAAAAATCGAGAATTATTACATTTATCATAAAGTTTGTACTTAAATATTCATTATAAATATAAAATACCTCTATAATAAAATTCCTACAGCCATGTTAACATGAAACAACAAATAATAAAAAGAGTAACAAACCCAAAAACATTTCATATTTCGTTTGTGTACAATAAAACGCTATCTGTATCGCGCTTAACTGATTTACGACGGGTCAGATTTGTTGGTTTACGCGGACTCGAACGTTGGACTTTACGATCGCACCCACCTTTTACAGCTGTGACTAAATTACTATATGATACATGACTTTGTTATAAATTATTTGGTGATAGTTATTTCACACTTTTAATTGGACTTTTAATTAGTTCGATAACTTCGACATTGTAGACAGTTGAGGAAAAAATACACTAAAAAAAGATACAGTTTAACGGTTGTTTATAAACACAGTTATACGTTAAATTGTTGTTTATGGTTCATCAAATATAAAAAATATGATTAAGTACGTTTTTTTTAAATATAGTCGTGCAAAATATAGAAATTATAAAAGTATATTTTAAAATCATCGAAATTGAGGAAAGCTCAGTCAAAACTTGACATCAAAACGTATCTAATTATATAAAAAAACTCGTAAACAGAATATAAAAATCTTCACGACATTTTTAAAAATATATTCGATAATGTGACGTTTGGCGAGCAATGGCGATGCGCAGTCGGCCTGTCAAAAGCACAGATTAAATAAAAAAAAACTAAATTTATTAGTGCCGACTCCCACACAACGTTATAGTGAGGAAGTAGTGCATTAGATGTAAGGTAGACGGGATGCTTTTATCCGACTTAGCAAATGGAAATTCGTATATGACAAGGGATCTTCAGATTAAAGTTTTTTTAAATCTTTATTTACGGAGCCACAATTATTCTTTAGCCACAGTTATGACTATTTCACGATATCATAGCCATTTTTAGTTTGTTAGAGTTATATTATTATATAATGAGACTTATGTGTTTTTTTTTGAAGATTTAACAATTATAATGACGGGGCACATCTCACAGATGATATTATGCTCCCAAATTAGGCAGAGCTTATGCTATGGTAACAAGACTGGCACTGATAGACTAATAAACATACTTATTTATATATTTCTAAATAAATGCATGTTACTAGTATAGTAGTAGTATGTAGTAGTTTACACTCACATATAGAACAAATGAGAGTATTCATAACATAATTATTTGTTCTGGGTAGGAATCGAAGCTACTCTATTTAGTAGACTGCTAGTCAGGATAACTAATAAGCCAGTTAACTCCGTAAAAGCTCCCAAAACTCCTCCAAGATCGTCCTGAAAGGCCCACTTGAGAGGCCGTGGCCCAGTTTCCGATAGCTCATTTCAGCCCACACTTCTGGCACACGCTGGTCATTTCAACAGTTTATATGACACCTGTGTCATGTCAACCTGAGAAATTTTGGACGCTATATAGCGTTGGGTAAGAAGATTACGAATCAAAATGGCGACATTTATGTCCTCGATACAGTATTCATCTCCGAAATATCGCCATATTTATTTTTAAACATAAAGCCTTGTCATCCTGCACCTTTAGGTATTAAATTATTTAAAAAAATCTTTTTCTTACATTCTAAATTTGAAATTCTTCGATTGCCGAATGTCACCGGCTGTTGCGTGTCGCATTTCGTTCTAAATTTAAAAGTATCCGTTAAGTCGGCATATCTCAATCCTGGCTTCTAAATTTGAAATTTCTGGAAACCTTTGTACTGGATCGTAAGTGATCTTTAGCTTATGTTATGCCACATGAAAAAAAAAACAGATATAATTAGGCAGAATTACCTTATAAACTTTTTACCTTTATTTTAAAGTAGCTCCATCTGTTGGTGCATTTATAATTCCAAATAATGAATTTATATTTATTATTAAGTACATCTATAATATACGGTTTTATTAACCTAATGTCTGATACCGTCGCAGCTCGTTAAGATTGAAGATACTCCTATTTGACGATATATTAGGTCGTGCTATCTAACATAGCACCTGCAGCTTAAACTAAAGTTCTATAGTCACATTTTGTGATATAGTGTTTCGTGTCTTAACCCAGAACCCGTGTGCATCTGGAAAACATTTGAGAGGTAGATTATATTTTGGAATAGCACATAGGTAATATACCTGTGTCCCGAAAAACGATTCACAAAATCTACATTAAATAAGGTAAATCTCGGGGAAAAGCTAGTTATAGCAAGATAAATACAGAAACTTTTAATAACCATCGAAAAATAACGATAACTTTAAAAAAAAATATAGACAGAATGTTGTAACGTAACATAAGTGTGTCGTCACTGACAGGTCTTGGAATGCGGTATAGCTCATTATAGGTGCGGGTCAGCGCTGTATCGAGACGATCTTTTAAGTTTTAACTTGGAAACGGCAGATGGCTTGAATTTCGTTATTACACATACTTTAGACTTTAACACTTTCTCACTTTCGCAATTCCTGAAAAGTCCTCTTTTCTCGACAAAGGAGGTTTTCAAATTGATTGGTTAAATAGTTCAGAGCGTGAAAGCATCACAAATAAACGAACATAATAACTTTCACAACTACATAATATATAATAAATCATTTATTCACTCAAAAAGTTTGTATATATTATAATAATATATAACAAATATATATATAGGCAATATTAATGTGGATTTGTATAAAATTACCCTTAGTTGGGATTAATTTTTAAGAACTTCCAAAACATGTTTAAAAGCCTCAAATAAAAAAAGTGTGAAATATTAAGTTGTTTTAAAATTTAAATTAAGAACGCATTTACACTCTGTTTACCTATCTTACAAATTGATAAACAAACATGTCGCAACTTTTTGATATTAACAAATTTTTTTTATATTTATAACAGCGGTGATGTCACCTTACTTGCCAGAACTAATAAAAAAAAAGAAAGTAACATTTTTCATTTTAATCTATTATTAAAAAAAAAGTTGGTCGACACGTTGAAAAGCCAAGTGCTAAAGCCAATAAAAAAAGTTGTAAATAATGTCAATTAGATTGTAAAATTCAAATAACTAAATGTATACTAATTTTTAAAGCTGTATACATATATTATAGTGTGTTAATTAATAGTTTCAGAACACCTTGCGTTTTAATATTATTATACATGCAAAAGTGTAAATGCACATTTGTTAATTAATCACTCAAAAACGGCTGAACGGAGTTGGATGACATTTAGAACAGTAATAGATAAAATTGATTTACAAAATTAATGTTTTATTACGTGTTGATTGAGGTCGTGGGTTCGATTCTCACCCAGGACAAATAATTGCATAAAGTGCACGATTATTTGTTCTGAGTCTGGGTGTAATTTACCTCTAATATTGGTACCTCTTAGATTAGGTGAACTATAAGTATGTTTATCAGCAGCAGTCTGGTAACGATAGTACAGGCTCTGTCTAATTTGTGATTAGACGCCGGTGTGTGGGATGTGTTAAGTTATTATTAATATTTAAAGTAAGCGTTTAGAGAGAACTAAATGTTAAAAACTTTTTACTTCCACAACTTTATCAACTTTTAAAAAAAGTCGTGCGCAATATGTTTGAAACTAAATTTGAAGTAAAATTAATTAAAATTCATCACATACATGATTGAATTAGATCAAATACCAGTTGCATAATTTAAGAAAACCCTTCGATTAGAAAATTGGTATCCCAAAACATAATTAACTGTCAACGGCGCACCGTTTCCGTTTCCGGCGTACCGTTCTATTTTCAAATCCGCTATCCCTGGCCTGATAAAAAAAGGTGTGAATTTTGTCTATGGTTAGGCATGGTTGAAGTGTTATTGACAGATAAAATTATAGCGCTAAAAGTTTTACGTGTTTAGAGGTCCGAGTTTCGTTTTAAATTTATTTGTGTAACTGTGTTTTTTTAAATAGGTTGATTGCGGAAAACATATTATATAATTTTGACGTTTTGAACTATAAATTTTATAAAGCTTTTATTTTATTAAAAAGTAGTAGAAATAAATAATGTTTGAATTTTTATTCCAACACCAACTTTTGCATGCGGTTAAAGCCACTTTAGGCAATAATTTTTTGTCTGTCTCTAATTATACTAAATGTATCCAAAGCCGCTTTTCAATTCATAATAATGTGCATACAATATTATTAGTTACAGTTTCATAGACTATGTGCTGACAGACTTAACAATAACCGAAATTATTGCACAGATTAGCATTATAACAATGGCGCTTATGACATACGCATTTTAGAGCGTTTTGTACATTAATCAATGAATCGTGAATTACCTAAACATAAATATTTGGCTTATTACATTAATGGACCACTGATAAATTAATTACCCACAAAAATATTCAATGATCCTTACAATTGTTTGAACATTGTTTCTGTTAACTTTACTTTTTATATTTAAATTTCGAACTACCCTCCACCTGCCGATTTATTGCCCAGCATGTAAACTGTATCTAAAAATTTCGTTACAAACTTTATAGCCTTATGTTAATTCCTAAGTTAATTATAGCCATGAAAATTTATAAGGCCGACACAAAATTAATTTTAGCCCTACGGGGTACCTCGGCTGGGCTATGAAAAAAATGTTTTTTTTTTCATTTTTACGATTCATTTTGACTTTCGAAGCGACAGTTGGTGTACGATTACAAATTCAAATGTATTTCTTTTGTTTTATTTGTTTTTTTTTTTTTTAAGGTTGATATTAGGGTAAAGGTTATGTTTAGGCAAGTGAACAAGTGTTTTGTTTTCATAACTTAAAATCAAGAAAGCTACTTATGAGTACTGCCAGCCTAAATGAATCGTTATCATCTAAGTCAGCCATACAATAGAGTTAATGTGGATACCTCAGCAGAATCGTCTAACGCCGACCTTCTTTACCAGGTACACGAGCTGTGTGACAACTTCTGCCACCGCTACATCAGCTGCCTCAAAGGCAAGATGCCAATAGACTTGGTCATCGACGAGCGGGAATCGGCCCGCCCCCCTGACACCAACGGCGAGCCACGTTCCGCCCCCGACAGCAGCCACGACGGCGCGTCCACCCCCGATGTCGTGAGTACCCCCTACACCAAGTCCCATCTGATTCAGAGGCGTGATCCCCAGCTTGCACCCAACTCGACCACGAGCTACCTCGTGCACCCCTGCTCTTAGTTTGGCCATTGCAAAAACGAAGTATAAAAAGGGGGTGCTCGCAATAGTTTTTAAATTCCCGCCTCCCGAGTTTGTAATGTCGCGTGTTCGCGGACTGTGACCTTTGTTTGGAACAGAAGTTCCGTCTCGCAAGGCCCCTGGCCTCCCGGTCGCAGTCCGCTAGCATGCCGCACCGCTCCCCGCCACTCCCAGGCCCTCACGCTAGCACGTGACGGCACAGGAACTGGCGCTAGCTTAAGTTCCTTTAGAACAAAACTTCGTTTTTGCAATTGGCCAACCTCTTAACACTGTACGATTCAATTAAAGTGTAACAAAACAAAGAGAAGTAAAGCTAAATTTCTAAATTATTTTTCATATCAACGTTACAGTGAAGGGGTGAAATCGGGTGCGATCTACACACATGATATAAATAATTTAAACGCCATTTTGTATATTTTAAATATGGCGGCCAGGTCCGCGACCACGTGGCACCCACCACTCCGCGATTGTTTTTGTTTTATAGTGTTACGCTAATTGGGCAAACACGCCTGTCCAAATTACTATTATTTTGCACTGGAATTTATGTATACGATTGAAAAAAAAAACTTACGTATAACGTTGATTGTAATATGTGTATACTAATAATATTTTTAAGTAAATAATACATTCATGATATGAGTTCGAGAGCCATGTTCGTTGATAGGCAGGTACGTCAAATGCAACATGGTAACAGCGCATTTGGAGCTTAGATTTTAAACGTAAATTAGATGTATTGACAAAACCTATTGGAAAACGAAGTATACGTAAAAAAACAACTTTAACTTGCCTAAGTGAGATAATAAGAATTAATTAAGAATTTTAAATTATTATAATTGATTTAACGGTGGTAGTTGCTAGAGTGTTATTGTTTTGGCTAGTAAATACGAACATACGTAAATAGGTAATATTTTATGTTTCCTATGGGATAGCACGATTAACTACAATTTAGTTAGTGGAAAAAATGGAAAAAAATATACGTACACAGTATACGCTAGTTTTAAAGATGTCCGTGTGATTTGCTTCTTGTACATGAATGTAATAAGAGTCTGTTTTATTACGGTGTACAGATAAAATGGGCAATTCTACATAATCGGATAATATATGTATGTGCGTTAATGAATAGAGACCTAGATGCTTATACAGAGTAAAATTAAATTAATCGTCGCGTTCATTGTTTTGCTGATATTACAAATAAATTTAATGTGTACAATTTTCCCCGTTCTCCTCTCGATTTTTAATGTTAAAAGTAAAATGTATGTAATTAAGTCTCGCTGTATTTTTATACAATGAGTGAGATTTTATTTCTTAGATCTTTTTTTAAATGTTTAAATAACTTTGGAATAGCCAGTGACTAATTTGAGATGAGAAATAGTACCTACTCTTTTTATTTGTTGCCCAGTTTTCGTATTCCAATTATACTAAACTGGTATTAAACAGCTAAATTTGAAATGAAATAAAAAAGAAAAACTTAAATTGAGTTGTGGCCAAAGTAAGCCGAATATCAAAGTTAGTCGAATAACTGGAGGTATTTAGTTTTCTCGATACAAGAGCATCTTCTCTGTTCAATTTGTTTAATATTTTAAGGGATATTTTTGGGCGTTGAGACTGAATTGTTTTGTTTGTGTTATATAATTATTATTTTCCACAATTGTTAACATTAGAAGCCATACTTAACTAATGTAAGATCGCGGCTTCGTCCGCATGTTAACTTGGGGACGATTAATTCTATCTAAAACAATATTAGTTATTTTTTGTCTGTATATGAGTTTTAACATTAATTTTTTTCTGTAGTTGTTTGTCTAAGTTAGGTTTTTAGAATACGATACGATAGATTTCCGCCTTACGGAAGCTATATTTTCTTCTCAAAATCTAACTCTTAAATGTATTATAATGCTAATTGGTGTACGTCCATCTTGTATGTCAACGTGATTATAATTTTATAGTTTTATTTTCTGAACGGATTAAACAATAAAATGTTCTGTTTGAAATTATTACGTAGTTTATTTTCAAAACTTCACATTCAAAAAAAGAAACACATTAGAAATATAATTTAGTAAACAAATAGTTTTTACTGTACAAAGCTTGAACATAATCGTTTAACAATCGACTAATTTAAGATTCGAACATCACTTTAAAGCTATACATACTTGTCTTTTATCATTTATTTCAAATTAAAAATAAAAAGAACACGTACATACGCCTGGAAGAAAAAGAAACTTTAAAAGTAGAACCTCTTTAGAAAATATTTCGCACCACAATATCGCAGTTTTATCATGTGCCAGTATTTCTTTAAGCAGTTGGATCCCCTGGCGCGCGGGAAAAGCCGGAAAATTGTTTCTTTACGACACCCGTTGCTCTAATCTTTCTTTAGGGGAAAAGTCCGCCATTAAAATATACGAAACCATTGGCAATCTGATGTTTTTATTATATATTTTTTGTATTTTCCGCGTCTGGAATTGACGGCTGATAGACGGGATGTAGGGTACTGTTAATTGAGAGATAATTTGTCGATTTTTTTAAAGGGGAAGTTTGCTTTGATGGTAAGATATTGTGGAACGATTTTTAAATATTTTAAAATAAGAACACCTTTGTGTCAAAGACTGATGCTAGATGATTTTAATCTTAACAGGCAGCCATGTTGGACGGAATTAAAGAGAGATTTATAGGCTTATTATAGATAAATAATCATACGTGCTCACTGATTAGAATAATACCATTTTTGACGAGGAAATTTAATGGTTTTATATTCTACTGATGTAGGTATAATGAACGTTAAACATCTAATAGTAGTCAACTATAGGTAAAAGTCTTAAAAAAACAGAGATAGCAATACTGTTGATGGTAAGAGTACACAAAGATTGAAATTTTCCGTGTGCTTCTCAGTTATTTAATGGTTTAAATATAGTACACGCTGTAATTTCTTTAAATTAGCACAATATAGTCTATCAACTTTGAACGTCAGAGTATTGTTCGGTTACAGGTTCGAGGCCTGTTTACGAATTAACTATTCCAAATATTTGATATAAAAAAGAAAATATTCGCTAAACTAAAAAAAAAACTATTCGAAAAATACGATTGCAAATATCGAATATAAAAATTAGTTTCATCTTGCATTCATAGCAGTTTCGTAACATAACAATAATTCGCCATGGTGCCGATACACCATGAATTATGTATGGGGTACATGGGAAATAGAAATAGGGGATTGGAGACAACGAGGGGATATCTCACAGGAATGTCATACCATGCTGGTCTTGAACGCCGCGACGAATTGTTTTGACATCACGTTATAAAGCAGTACATTTCTTGATAACATAACCTCGATTGCATTATCTCAAAGGATACTTAAATAAATATTCTATTTGGGTGAACTTTATTTTGTTAAAAAAGTTTCTAAAAAAATTGAGATTAGCCTGAAGTCAATTCTCGTAATAAAAATTAGTTCAAAATTAAGTTCCGATCTACGCTCGGTCTCACAAATGTCATGAAAGGTATTCTCGTAGTAAAGTATTACTAAGACTAGGAGAATACCGATTTAACTTTCAGTCCCAATATGATATTAATCATATTACAGTCAACTTTGGATGTTTACTTTACTACGAGAATACCTTTTTTGACATTAGTGGGATCGGAACTGAATTTTGAACAAATTTTGATTACGTGAATTGACCTTCTGACTAAACGGGTGTTTCGTAACAGATTCTTGTTTTTATAACGGGTTGAAATGACAAATGTATTACTTTGAACGATGACAGTTTTGGTACAGGCATTTGCAGCAAGTATACCGTTCAGTGACATGGAGTGATGGCTGTGTTGACAGGTTAAATGTATCTTGAAATAACTTACAGTGGAAATAATACTGGTTCATCACAAGGAAGGGTTATTTTTAATGGTGTGAGGACGAATGAGCAGACGCATCATCTGATGGGGAATTACGAGTATTAACCTCGCAATGGACAACAGCAACTTAAGACACACAAGTGTGAGTGCCACCTCCCCCTTTTGTTAGGGGGGAGGAGAGGAGTTAGGTTTCTGATAACTTTATTCATTCTTTAAAATACAATGGTTTTCGTACGGCCGAAAACAATTAATTGATCGGCTGTTTTGTATTTTCTAAAGAGTTGTTGCGTCATCATGTTTGAACTCGGGGAGTGCTACAGGAATTGTTGTTACCAAATCCAGGATCAACTAAAAATCAAAGATAATTCCTAAGCAAAGCATACAGTCCAGCTGACGCATCTAAACAATTAGCCGCCAAATGCATTAACCCACGAAAATAGCCAATAACTTGAGTTTTAAGACTGAAGCTGTCAATTTTGGCGCCAAAACAGCGAAAAGACGCCGCCTGCCAGTCGTAAACCGTCGCTTTCAAATCTGGAACGAGATTTTATTGGCCGAGGACTGACCAACGGCGTCTCGCGAGCAAATTTTACAGCCCCTTATTGGTTGACTGGCGTTTTCTTATTTACGACTGTCCTAAGGATCGCTCGCAAAATTTTCTATTAATAAATTAGTCGTAAAGTGTTTGAAATTTATTATCATTGCGCCGCAGCTTAATTATTTCCTTTATAAGAATCATATTACACGTTGTCTCTTGAGGAACAAGACCGTTTTTCATGTGATATTAAAATCTTTGTTGTCTGAATCGTCAATCACGCGTTTAACAACTGTGAATTACTGTAAGTTTATTTAATTAGGAAATTTATTTTTAAATATCTACATGTAGTTAGAAATATTTAATTTACTATTATAAAATATCGACAGGATTTAGAAGCATTTGCATTTGGAATCACAAATACATCTCAAAGCAGAAACTTATCAGATACTAGTTCATAGTTATATTAATTCTGGAATCCGAACCCACTAAACATTAAAACGAAGTATTAACACTTATTGAGGTCATCATCATCATCATCAACAGCCTCCTTTCTAAGGGGAGGCCTATGTCCAGCAGTGGACTATTAAAGGCTTATTAAGGTGAA